AAAAAACTGGATACATTACTTATTAAAATGGCAATTCTCCTACTGAAAGTGACAAGAGGAATAAAAAAATTTTCTTTAGATGGACCAGATATTAGCTGAAATATAACTACCACAAATTTCGTCAAAGGGCTGGGAAGAAACCAGGCCCCCAACTCCAATCTTGAGCAGGCACTTGGGGACAGTGGTCCCTCCTGACCGCACCCCGTTCCAGCTGCTCTGCGTGCACCTTTGCTGCCCCCGTGCCAGTGGCGTGCGGCGCTGATACAGCAGCTCTCTGAGAGTTCAGCGCTGGACTGTGGTCTGCATGCATTTATGTAAGTTGCACGTTTGTGCAGTGTTATGACTTTTGGACCTGCAAAGTCATAAGAAAGGGTATTTGTACACCCATGTTCATAGCAACATTATCCCCAAAATCCAAGAAGCACCTCCACTGATGGGTGAATGGACCATGGCAATGTGGTTTACACATACACAGTTTATTATCCTGCCTTGAAAACAAAATTCCGACACCCAGCACGGTGAACCTCGAGGCCGTTCTGCTAACTGAAATAGGCCAGTCACACAAGGACAGAGACAGTACGATCTCCCACACACGGGCTGCCCGGAGGACTCAAGTTCACAGAGACAGAAGGCTGAGTGCTGGATGCCAAGGAGATGCCCTGGGCATGTGTGATGGGCACAGAATCCAGTTTTACAAGATGAAAGGAAGCCTGGAGATCAGTTGTTCAACCATGTGAATGAACTTCACTGCTAAATCATATATTTAAAATGGATAAGAAGATAAAATTATGTGGTGTACACTTTATGTGCTGTATATTTTCATCCTCCCCAAGTAAACCAAACAAACAAACAAAAAAGAAAATGTAAACTTCATTAGTTATGGATCAGTAACACAGGGAGGAGTGGCTCTGAATGATCTTGTGCTACATCAGGGCTAGACTTACGTGGTCTCATTTCACCCTTTCAAACCTATTAAAATCCCAATTTACAGACAGGAAAACTGAGGCACTGAAGGGTTAACGAGTCTAAAGTTGTATGGCTGAGAAGGAGCGGGGCTGGGTACCCTGGGTACTCTGACACTACAGCTTGCCCTCTAAACCCTCTGACCATGGACAAGTTCACTGGCATTGTGATCTTCCCCACTTACAGCCCCTTGGACTAGAAAGGGTTAGAGAAATGACTAGCACCATTGCTGACAGTTGCACGGCGCCCTATGTTTTACATCTCATTGCTGCCTGGACACTACTTGCTAAAATACTCTTAACACAGGTGTTCTTTTATCAAAAGAAAAACTGGAACCCTAGGGAAGCTGAGTGACTTGCTTCAGGTCACACTGCCACTTCTAACGCTGAGTGCAGGGCCACACCCTAAGCCACTCCCCGTCGGGCTCAATTCTTCTTCTCATGCCTGAGAATGTCTACAAAGGACACACCCAGAGGCTAATGGCTCATCCAAGGTCACACAAAGAGCTAGCCTGTTTTGCATACATCGTCAACATATACCTTTAAAGATAATTTGCCCCCATAAGATGCTATAAATACATGTTTGACAAAGTAAGGGCTGGTACTGCCGCAGAGACCTCGGTCAGCATAAAATAAGAGCCTTTTTTCTAGAGGCTTTTACTTGCAGAGCTGATGCATTAGAACCACCACTCCACTTACGCGCCTGACTTTTCAGTGCCTGCCTTGCTCCCGCCTCCTGGTCCATTAGCTCTGCAGTAACGTGTGATCAATTGAGCAAATCCATTTAGACAGCATGTCGAGCTACTCTTACGGTGGATTTGGTAATGAAGCAGGAAAGTGCATGATTACTGTATTATTCAGACCTTGGAGGGATGGAATTACATAAATCCTCCCTTGATCCTGACTTCACATCTACAAGGAGCTCCAAATAGTTTCGGTTACCGTGAATGAACTTTATGATGCGAAGTGTGAAAGTACAAAGCTGGGGTCTTCTGCTCAGCAGCCTTTTTTGAGCAGTGTAACTTATTTTTGAGTTTGACACGAGGCTCGTCATCTGTGTGAACGGAGCAACTGCTATTCTTGGTGGTGGGCATGGATGTACGGATGGGAACCGTGGAAATCCGCCCGTGTAAACCCCTCGTATGTCAAACGAAGGAGCTCTTCCACAAGTCTGTGTTTTTCGTTTCCCACACCTTCCTGTCAGGGCTGAGACTGGGGCTGGCACTACCTGAGGGAACTGTACAGCAAGCGCCCTTTCTGACAGCAGCAGAAGTCTGCAGTCCCACCAAGTAAAACTTTCCACGTCTCACGGCTGGGAAACCTCTAGCCATTAGTTAACAAAATCAGACCAAGACTCCAAGGAGAGAAAACTGGACTCAGTTTCCGTGCAGTACTAGCGTTCCTCTGCTAATGACCTGCGATTAATGAGCACGGTCTCCTTTCTGCTGCACCAGCCATTGGACAGTGCCCTTCACCAGGCAGGGCCTAGGTCAGCTTCGCGCGTCCCTGAATCCCAGCTCCGAATAACGCGCTCCTATCGGCTGCTACATTCTCCACAAGTACTACGCAGGATGACTAAATAACCTCATGTCGTTTCCATCACAGCCCTACGTTACCATTTCACAGAAGAGAAAACTGAGGCCCAGTGTTAATTAAAATGTGTCCAAGGTCACTCAGTTTACAAATGTTAGAGGCTATATTCAAATGCAAATGTACTTGAATTCAGAATCCACAGCTCAACCTTAAAATGATTTTACTGGAATAAACCAGACCTTAGGGCTTTTTACTAAATACAGAGACCATCTATGAAAGGTGGGTCTAAAAGAACACATTTCATGTCAGTACTCTAGCCAAGTCGTTACCTTTCAGAGAGCATCAATACTGTACAAATAAGCTTAGAAGCAATGACTTACCCACAAATCCTTCTTCACCAACCAGTTTCAGGGCAATTTTATCAGCTAACACGGAAGAGTTGCCGTGAGCGATGTTAGCAAAGGGGCCAGCATGCACAAAGACGGGTGTCCCCTACAGAAGCAGAAGGACAAATTAAAACTCCAAAAGACAGGTAGAAAAACAGAACTCAAGACCGATTTGGAGCACACAATATGGAACATACTGCTGGGGATTTTTCAGACTTAACCAAGTCATTCTGCTTTTACTTACACTGCAAATTCAATGTACAAGATCTCTAGAAGACAGTCACAACACTCTGACTTACTCAGAAGAGCACCTGGGGGTGGTACTGGGAGTTGAACCAAGGGACCTCGCACTGAACTATACAGCCCCAGTCCTTTTTTATTTGGAGATAGGGTCTCACCAAAGTCACTAAATTGCCCAGGTGGGGCTGGAATCTATTAATTTATTTATTTACTTACTTGTTTGTTTTGTACTGGGAATGGAACTCAGGACCTTGTGTGTGCCAGGCGGGCACTTGTGCCACTGAGCTATATCCCCAGCGCTGGGCTGGAATTTATGACCATCCTGCCTCAGCCTCCTAAAGTGCTGGAATTATAGGCATGTACCACCACACCCTACTCCAAATTCTTAATACAGTGCTATTCTATTTAATGCTGAACCAGAGACTAAATTATACTAGTCATTTCCTACTATAATTTTGATTACCTACTGTTAGTTGTCTCAGTAACTATGAAAGAAACTATCCTATTTCATATTGTTTGCATTATATTTTTTAAAGGAATGGAGTTAGACTCTGCTGGTCTAAGAGGCTTCTTTATTCCCCCCCACCATTAAGAAATTAGTTCAAGAAAAATCTCAAGCATACGAATCAATTGTAGGAATCATGGCATACCAACTACATAAAGATTAAGTTTAGACTTTTTTTAGGCCATTTTTATTTTGATAATAAAGTTTGTTTTCTTATTTTTAAAAGTTCTGTTTCTATTTTTTCCTTGTTTAACTATTGTACATGTTAGAAATCTGGTAATCATTAGAATAAAGTAAAGAAAAGAAAAAGTAAAGAAAAATTTCACTCATAGTAAAATATCACAGTAATTTTTATTAATAAAAAATACAATAGGAACCAATATAAGGAAATAAACATCTTCAGATTTTAATTATTTAAACATAATCTCAATATATTAAATTTTAAAGCCATTTCTTCACATTTCCCTTTATTAATGACAACAGACTTTAGCCACATCTAAAAAGTGTTTACTCTCATGCATTAAAATGGTCAGGCTTTTTGCTGAGGCCGGCCAGGGCCATCAGAGTCTGCACACAAAGGCTCCGCTCCACCTGTGAAAATACAGGCTGCGCCTCTGCTGCCGCGGGAAAGGGCTGGGAGCCACGGGGGCCGGGGGGCTGAGAGCCACGGAAAATTCCCACGAACCCTGACAGGCTGTTAGCTGAACAAAAGCAGGAAGAAAGTTATGAAAGGAAAATCACCTCTGAGAATAAAAAAGGACCAAGTTTCTCAAAGCCACTATGTGAGTTTTCTATTTACTCTGCCTCTGAAAATCCTCAGGAGGGAAATTATATCCGAGAAGGTCACAGTGCTGTACATGGATATAAAGCTGGGGCTGCAACACTCAGATGCACCCGTTTATAGATGTGTGTCAGCATCTACGGCTCCATCTTTCTAAGTAAGTAATTTCTTACTTCCATCTAGAGAAACCTTTTGAGTACTCTGTAGAAAATATTTTTTAAAATGCCTTAAAAAAAAAAGAGAGATGCAAAAGGCCGGGCATGGGGGCGCACGCCTGTAACCACAACATTCGGGTGGCTGAGGCAGGAGGATCATTGAGAGTTTGAAAAAAAAAAAAAAAAGAGAGTTTGAGAGCAGCCTGGGCTACAAAGTGAGCTCAAGGCCAGCCTGAACTGCACAGTGTGACCCTGTCTCAAAAAGACAAAATAAATAAATAAATAAAAACGCCTTGAAGCCTCCTTGCTCTTCTATCCTTGCTGACCTGAGCGTGTTGCTGCTACTACGTACGGAGGTGGTAAGCTTTCTCGAGGACAGGTCACAGGCTCCGGCCTGGATGGCCGGCTGGCTTTCCCATCCTCCCCTACCCTGGAACCCACACCTCAGCTGTCTGTCGCGGAAGCGCTGGGCCTCGGTCTCCAGGGACACGGGTGATGGGTGCAGCTGAGTCGGCCCCAATATCTCCATTCCTGGGATAACCATTCCAAGTTGCTACTAGATCCAAAGCAGCATCTTATGGAAACGACTTCGAGAAAACAACTTTTATCCTTTGTGGAACTTTCCTGATTTTCTAGATAATATAACTAACGTGTTAGCAAAGTATTTTTAATTTAAATTTTGCTTAAATGACAATCATTGCACACCTTTAAGGGGTGAACTGCAGTGTTCGGGCGTATGCGTGCGCTGTGGAATGATCATGCTGTCCTTTGCTTGCAGGATGTCCCCCAGGGCCCAGGTTGGCACTGCTGGAAAGCGGTCAGTGTACTGGGAGGTCTTAGGTCATGGCAGTCTCCTTAGAGAGGATGTGCGGCCCCGGTCTCTTTCTCTTTGTGTGCCAGTGTGGGGTAGGTGGCTCCGCTCCACCTCGAACTCCTACCGTGACACGCTGCCTGACAACAGGCCCAAACCAATAGTGCCAAGTGACCACAGACTGAAACCTCCACAGCCAGGAGCCAAAGCAAACCTTCTCTCCTCATCAGGGGTTTGTTACATAACCAGGATGGATTAAATCAAGGGAATTCACCAGTCCATAATCTCACATATTTATCTTTATATGTGTAGTGAGAACATGAGATTAATACAAGTTACCTTTGGCCCCTACAATTACAAGAGGTGCTCGCAGTGGTGGCTGTTAGCTTCCAGACATTTATTAGTACAGTGAACTGAAGTGTACATGCATTTTTTGCCAGACTTTGTATAATACATTATTATTAATTATGTTCACCTTGCTGTGCAACAGATCTCAAAAAACTTGCCTCTTCTCTAACTAGAACTATGTATCACCTGGTCGACTTGTCTTTATTCCCTCCCACACTCACCCTGTGGTAAACACCATTCTTTCTTTTTTTTGAGACAGGGTCTTGCTATGCAGTTTAGCCTGGCCTCAAGCTCATTTTGTAGCCCAGACTGGTGTGGAACTCACAAGGATCCTCCTGCCTCAGCCTCCCAAGTGCTGGGATTACAGGCATGTGCACCACACCCAGCACCATCATTCTAACTTTGTACCTGGAGAAAGCTTCTTATAGTTGTGAATCAATGCAGTTTTAGCAAGGTAGGCATGGTGGTCCACGCCTTTAATTCCACCATGCTGGAAGGCTGAGGCAGGAGGACCACAAGTTCTAGCACAGCCTGGACAATTTAACAACTTAACAAGACCTCATCTGCATATGGAAAAGGGCTGAGTAACTCAGTATAAAGGTTCTTAGTTCATTTTACCAGTTCTAGGGGGGGTGCTTAGGGGTGGGGAGGTGGGGTTAGCTAGAAAACCTTTAGCCACAAAATACGAGGACAAGAAGGGGTCAACCTCCTCTTCACATAGGAAGCCTACGGCCCTTTCTGGGATTAAAGGAATGTCTCAAGGCCCACAGTAGATTAATAACTAAATCAAGATTACAGCTCTGTTTTTGAAACTCCCACTGTGGAGTTTTAATGGAAAAGTTATTAAAACATCATTGCTAGATATTCAAACACAAGGATCTATGTATACATATATATACATTCAATGATGGATGTAGCTATAAAATACAGCTCTTTGAGTTGAATACATTGTATAAGACATTCTGAGACTAATTCAAAGGTATAAAAATATTTATCTTGAGTTCAGCATTTTGTTTTACATGTAGAACACTTAAGAAAGTACTGCAGAAACTGTCTGGGCCTCTCAAGATGACCAAGCTATGCATATTCTCCATAACGGACTTTGCAAACACTTCATAAGAGTAATACTTCAGTTAGTTCCCTGCTTATCAGAGCTCAACAGAGCCTGGTCCAAAAGAACTATCTACAGCCGGGTGTGGTGGTGCAGACCTGTAATCCCAGCACCCGGGAGGCCAAGGCAGGAGGACTGTACTTAGTGTGAGGTCAGCCTGTGCTACATAGTGAGTTCAAGGCCAGCCTGAACTACATAGTAAGGCCCTCTGTCTCAAAAAAAGAAAAAAGAGAAGAACTTTGTACAACAGCCATTGGACACATGTAGCTACTAAGCACTTAAAACATGGCTATCAAAAGAGACTGTGGCTAACAGGAATGAGAGAATGAATATCTCATTTTATTTATTCAATTGTAATTTGGACTGAAGTAGCCGCATGTGACCAATGGCTGCTATACTGGACAGTGCTCTCCAGCAAGTGTATGCTTAACCCAGGAGAATACTGACATCTCTCAATTTCTTGCTCATGCTGAATTAAGCCCTCCATTGGGCTCTCAGCCTGGCTCTTCATGAGGCTCTCCTGGGGTAAGCAGGCCTGACACCCCCCCACCATGTCTGGTTCTCTTGGTCTGGGCGGACCTGGCTCCAGTCCGTACCCTACCTTCTTCCCAGGGGCTTCCGAGTGCGGCCAGGCTGGGAGCCACTGGTCTCCTGGAAGCCTGCAGCACCGCAGCCTGTGACAGCCTCCCACGTGATTAACGATCAGGTGTGTGATCAGGTGTGTTCAGAAACAGCGCACAATTCGCAGACCACCAGAGGTTTTCAGATTAACTATTAATGTAAATTCCCAGGATCATGATTAGCTATGTTGATCCTGGAGTGACTATGCAGATTCAAGACAGTAGAATTTAGGCATGCAAATTTTTTTTTTTCTTTTTTTTTGTCTTTTTGGGACAGGGTTTTGCTCTGCAGTTCAGGCTGCCCTTGAGTTCACTTTGTAGCCCAGGCTGGTCTCGAACTTGCAATGATCCTCCTGCCTCAGCCTCCTGAGTGCTGGGATTACAGGCCTGCGCCACCGAATGTGGCTGGGCATGCAAATTCTTAAAGTGAACGCTGTGTTCTATCTTTTTTTTTTTTTTTTGTCTTTTTGGGACAGGGTTTTGCTCTGCAGTTCAGGCTGCCCTTGAATTATTAATTCACTTTGTAGCCCAGGCTGGTCTCAAACTCGCAATGATCTGCCTGCCTCAGCCTCCCAAGTGCTGGGATTACAGGCATGCACCACCACGCCCGGCTGTGTTCTATCTTTTAAACAAGGCCAACCACCTGTTCGAGTCATCTCAAAGCAGCCTATGCCTTAACTGAAAAATAGACACAAATGTGAGTTTGGTAAGAAGTGCTTAGGAATAGTCCAATTATTAATTCACTCATTAGATGTGAAACTTTCAGCATGGGAAATGTCTTAGAGGTGCAAGTAATTTTCCTCACAACACATAGTTATTTAAAATAATCGATTATCTCTAATAAGTTTCTTGTTTATTAAAAAAATGTGTTTATTTGTTTCGTTTTGCTTCCTTTTGGTGGTGCTGGGGATTGAGCCCAGTACTCCCAAAAGACTAGGTGCCAGAAGTCCAAAGGACACACGGTGAGCGGTGCCGACCCTGCCACGTCAGGTCAGAGAGAAAGGAAGATGTGGTCACACAGAGGGGCGGGCCCTGACAAGGTCCCTTAGGACGCGCAGCAGCTGGGGCTGGTCAGCGGGGACCGCAGTGCCAGCGAAGCGGGTTTTATGTCAGGACACAACTGCTCTAGTTCTTGGGACTGGCTTGGGTGGTTTTTGGACAGCGCAGGGCGGAGCGAGTCTGTGCACTGGTGATCAGAGAAGGGAGGCCTCCGGCGCCTGCCGTACCCCACTCCCCTTCACCTGGGGCTGCAGGCTTCCACCAAAGCAGCGCTTGCGCCCCAACCTCCTCACTCAGGGGAGGCCTCCGCGCTGCGCCCACACTTGGCCCCTTGCAGCTCTGGCTTTATTGGCTCACGACTCCCCCTGCTCAGTCCCTGGGGTGCAGCCCTGCCCAAGGCCGCTGCTCAGCGGGCACCCTCTGCCTCAGGCCCACACACCTCACTTCCTTGGTGACTTCCCTCTCTGCCAGGGCCTCACTTGATGAGCAGGCAGGTAGCAGCTACTCAGATGCACGCCCGTGTCCCTCATGCTCCCCATTCCTCCTCCTCGGCCCTTCTGCGACTACAGGTGGTAAAATTATTTGTCTCCCGCACCAGACTAGAGGCCGCCGAAGGGCCAGGACTTTGTATCATTTCCTGCTGCGTCCTCAGCACCTCCTCTAACGGGCCCACGTCACGTGGTAAATAAGTATTAGTCTTCAAAGTAACTCCAGTGGGCTAGCTGTCATCACTAGCGCACTTTACATGGGGGAACTGAGGCTGGCGTATTAAGTAAGGCCAGGTCACAGCTGTAAACAGCAGCGTGCACTCCAACGCGGCCTTCTGCGGGTTGAAAACACGGCGGACATTCCACCTGTGTGTCTGCTGTGTCCCCAGCAAACTTGGCCTCTGGCAGCTTCGCTGTCTCCCCCACTGCAGCTTGAGGAGAGGCAGCCCATCTGTACCAATGGTGGTGCAAAAATCCTCCCAATTCCGCATCTGGTGACATCCGGAAGGGAGTTGGAAACAGGCCATAATGGAAAGGTTTACTAGAAAACCAGCAAACGGTACCAACAAGGGACTTCTCCTCCAGAGAGCTGTCTGTGAAAACACCTGCCAGGACAAGTTCATCTCCCCACCAGGTCCCTCCCCGCAACACATCTCTTTGCTCAGCATGACCCAGAGCCAGCCCCCTTGTTTGGGCCTAAATCTTGGGGTCTGATTAGCCAAGCGGAAGGAAATGGACAGTCCCTAAATCAACTGAGTATGACCAGGGCTTAGAAAACGAGATCAAAACAGAGGTGTCTTGATGGAAAAACTTCAGCTCAATGTTTTTATACAAAAGTACCGAAATAATATTTTCCTCAAAGTGAAGTTGGCATCCCCACAGTTTCCTAGAAAACACTTGCTGCCATTTACTGTACTTTGCTTGGGAAAAACCAAACAAACCACAAAATCCAAAACCTAGTGACTGAGGGATGAAGCAAAAGAAAAACTGCAACACAGAAAATGCCACACGAACATGGTCACACAACCTGTTGAGATATTAGACAGATTTTTTTTTGGCAGTACCTGGGATTGAACTCACAACCTTGCGCTTGCCAAGCAGGCGCTTATGCCGCTGAGCTATATCCTCAGCCCCACAGACAGATACTGACTTCCCACTCTGGTTAACTGAGCCAAGATGTGAATCACACCTAAGAATCTATACATTCATTTTTAACATTTTTTTCAGATGATTAAGGAGTCATTCTGATGTCACATTCTGGGGTCACAGAGGCAATCAAATGGAGACAAATGCTAGAAATGACTACTACAAAAAATTACTTACTTCAAGGGTCTGCATCAGATTTGGTTTTATTGCATCTTTCATCAAAACGGTCAAAGCACCTGTCACTCCCTGCAGGCAAGAAAAAGAAAAAAGAAACTTCCATTACTGACAAAGGATGGGCAGGGGTGACCCTGAGGCCTTTCTGACAGACTGAGTTCTAGGCTGGCATCCCCACAGGCTGCCCTCAGCCCTGCGCTCCAGGAGACAAAGATATAGGGGACACAGGAATGTTATCTCTGGCCACCTGCCCTCCACCACAGCCAAGAATGATGGCCGGGCTGTGGATAAACAGGAGTCCTGGCTCTTCTCTCCTGACCTGCTGGGAAGACGTTGAGGGAGTGTCCCCAAAACACATCTGCCTAAGTTTTTTGTTTTTTTTTTTTTAAAGATAGGGTCTCAAAATGTAGTACATGCAGGCTGGTCTCTAATTCACAGGGATCCTCCTGCCTCAGCCTCCTGGGTGTTGGGATTACAGGTGTGCCCCACCACATCTGGCTTCCTGAGTATTCATATATATTCTGAACGTATTTCCTGTCACCTAGGCACATTCTGTTTTCATTGTCCAAAGAAGTAAGATGAAGACCGAAACCCCAGGTATTACAGGGCGCGAGTGGAGAGAGGTCAGGGGAAGCACTGGGCTCTACTCTGGCTCAGACAGCTGTGCTGGAAAGGCTCCCAGTCTGCACCTGAAAGGTGTGAAACTCTCACCCCTCTGTGGCTAGAGCTGCACACAGCGGAGAGGTGGCTGCATTTTCCTAATTCTACCAAACGTCCCTCCAAGTCCCCTTCAAGAGAAGAAACGGGGTCAGGGAAGATACATGAGAATCAGGGGAAACACTGTGCCCAAGAATAGAATGTGGTTACTTTAGTTTTTTTTTTTTTTGGTACCGGGAATTGAACTCATGACCTCAGTCTTGCCAGGCAAGCGCTTATGCCACTGAGCTACATCCCCGGTCCAGTTAGTTTTTTTTTTTTTTTTTTTTTTTAATGAGATGCCACTGGTTAATTTCTTTTTTCAGAAAAACCTCTTCTTTCTTTGCTAAGGACTCTGAGCAGCACCTTGCTCTTTTCAACAAATACAGCTGGGAGTGGTGGCACAGGCCTGTAACCCTGGCACTTTAAGAGGCTGAGGCAGAAGGATCGCTAGTTTGAGCCCAGCCTGGAAACCTGAGGGAGACCAGGGCTCAAAATAAAAAGGGCTGGGGATGGAGCTCAGTGTGAAGGCCAGGGGTTCCTCCCACAGTACTGCCCCTCCCTGTCAGTCAGCACTTCTCAGGAGGCCCCAACATGAGCATAGGCCTGGGGCCGCAGCCCTAAAGGAGGAGAAAAGATAGCGCCGGCCCTCACTGCAGAGCGCATGGCACCCTTTCACTGCGGTCCCCGCAGCTCTAACAGGCACAGTGGCACAATCTAGGGCACCTGCATCACCCCAGAAGGCAGGCCTTCCCCCTACTCCTATCACCAACAATATCAAGTGTTTCTCTTATCTGAGTAGTTTCTGTTTTGATAATATTTAGTCATTTAAGATTCCTTTAAAATGCCAATAAATTCCCTATCTTACTATACAAAATACATATTGTAGGGAACATAAATACTACACGGATCAAGAGGCCAGAGGAAGGAAGCTGACGTTTCTCCGGGGTCGTCTCAGCTATGTGACCACCTGCTCAGCTCCCACAGTGAACCTCATCTGCGGGGGCATTTTCCGAGTGGGGTGGTACCGATCCACAAGGAGAGAGCTTCGCCCATGGAGGAAGCCCTCGGGGCTATTTCCTGTGTGAGGGACGTCACCCGTACCCTTACCCCACGTCCACGGGGAGAGTCTGGCCATCTTCCAGCGTACTAAGAATGACATATCTGGAAGAAACCGAGCAGCTTCTAAAATTCACCCTCAGATTTCTAGTGATGACCTTCAGTTGGTAGCTCCAACTGGACAAAACATAGCATGAAGAAATTAGGCACTTTTCTTGCAAACAAGAAACACACAAACCAGGCGTGGTGGAGCACGCTTATACTCCCAGCACTCGGGAGGCTGAGGCGGGAGGATCCTTGTCAGTTCAAAACCACCCTGGGCTACAAAGTGAGCTCAAGGCCAGCCTGAACTGCATAGCGAGACCCTGTCTCAAAAAGACACACACACACACACACACACACACACTCAAGACTTAAAAGACTAAACTCTGGATTTGTTCTGAATCTAAGATTTTTTAGCAAACATAAAAATAACCTTAAGGAAATATTTGACTACTAAGTTGCAAACCCTTCTGACATGTATTTGTTACAGTCTAAGACTGAAAGGACATAGAGAGACACATTTATACCAAGCTATAATGCTCTTTTGATAGAAATGCTGGGATTTGGGTAATTTTTAACAAGCAGCACCTTTACAATAAGTCGTATTTGTGCTTTCACCTCAAGCTTATACAGTACTACGGAGGCCACCGGGCTGCTGCAGAAACACCCTTACTCCTGCTCCTTGACAGCGCTTGTGAGATGAGTCACCCAGACTCATTTCTTCAAAAGCCGCCAAAAAGTAATCAAGGCACTTTGGCAGAGGACTCAGATCATACCCTCTGCCCTTGGAGTGCACCAGTGAAATGTCACTTCGCCTGGCCCCTTTCCCCACTGTTTTTTACGCATCAGTTTCCCTCTTAGATTCCATTCTTGAACGTGGCCCATATGGAGGAAGTAAGCTTCCCTTTAGAGTAATGGCTGCCCTAGGTCGGCCCTTGTGGGCAACTGAGGTTCTCTTCTTTTGTTTTTTGTGACACAGGGTTTCACTGTGTAGCCCAGGCTGGCCTTGAACTTGCAGCGATCCTCCTGCCTCAGCCTCTCGAGCGCTGGGATTACAGGTGTGTGCCACCATGTCTGGCAGCAGCTGGGGCTCATGCCCACCATAAGGGTTGTTGGTAAAACGAAAAGGGATGTTAGGGTAGCAAGTTAAACACTGCAACAGGCATCAGTGCATCTGCCACTGTTAAAGCTTTATAGAGAATAGCTCTGCGCTCCACAGAGGAGTGAGAAGAGTAAGACTGACGGAGGCCAAGACGCGCTTTAATGACATGCAACCCTAAAGCACGACGCTAACACACAAGCTTGGGAGCAGTCGGGGAGGAAAATGTGCCCATTTTAACTATAGCTTCCCGTTTTTCCTGAAGGCAGAGCCACTTCCTCTACCCCGTGGAAAGGTGACTTGCCCCCCACTGAAGGCAGGGGTATGTCGGACGTTTTTAAAAAGCCACCAAACACACCAACCTCAGCCCGGGCAGAAGCAGAGATCAAGACCGGTGAGAATGGTGAAAAGCTCTCATGAACTGAGGGTCCTGCATTCTGGCTGCAGCCAGGTGCAACCACACGATAAATGCTCTCACTGCATTTAATAGCACGAAGCCGCGAGGCAGAGAAGCTTGTGGGAAAAGAACACGTGTGCAGCAATTCTCCGAATCCCCACCCCGTGTGTCCATGACAGAGATGAAGAGAACCTCACCATCTTGATGGATGGGCAGCTCTCGGGGGGCCTCTGAGTAATACTCACCAAGTCCTCTGCTGTCACAGGCTGCCCATTTTTGTCGCTGGCCACCACCATCCTTCCCAGCCGCTCCTTCATGTCCTGGAGGCTGTCTGTCAGGGCCAGCACTGCCATGATCTCGCTGGCCACTGCAATGTCAAACTGCGCCTGAACAGGTCAAAGCAAAGGCAGCGGTCAGCTACGGGGCTGCACGGACGGCGCTTGCCACAGGGGGCGGGGTCTCAGGCGTGTGTGTGCGCGCGTGTGCGCGCCAGAGTGTGCAGAGCGCGCAGGGTGGTGCCGGGCGACATCTGGGTGGCTGCCCGCCTTGACCACAAGCTCCTCTGCTCGGCAGCAGTCACTGGACGAGGCTCCTGCTCACAAGGCCACACAGCACACTTGTGCAGCCTGTCTCTGACTGGTGACTAAGTGGCAGTGTCATTTCCTATCTAATGTGTCCCCATCGCTGGGCTGTCGAAGCACCATGAAAGGGGAGAGCACGGTGGGGTTCACTGCTGCGCTCCAGCCATACTGAACAGCCTATGATCGCCTCGGCTGGAGGCAACAGGCCAGTCAGGGAGGCCGCACTGCTCCTTCCAGCAGAGATACGGGGCAGGTGGTACCAGAAGATAGTCCTGCTGGTTTGTGAGGCCAGTTTCCCAAAGTTACAGCTCAGCACAGCAGCCACAGAATCTAATTCCAGCTGCCCACGAGGTATGGCCACGTCAGAGCTCCAGGCTCCCAGCTACAGACACCAGAGAGCGGTGACTGTGACAAGTTCCCAGGACTTCCTGTTCCCTGCCTGGCTCTGCTTCCAGGCTGTATGCAGTCCGAAGGGAGCTCAACGGGACACGAGGAGCGTGCCTTCCCCTGCTCATGCTGCAGCCACGGGAAAGCTTCTCTGCACAAAACCACTTCATGAAGCTCTGCTTAATTCCCTTTTCCCCCAGGGGAATGTCAGCCGGACGGGTTCAAGGCTACACAGAGAAAAATGGCTGCGCCCTGGAGGGGTCACTGCGTGAGGCGTCAATGCCAAGTAGGAAGGTGGAAAGGAGCTTCCTGGCTCCTTGCTGAGAACTGCATTAGTCAATAACTTAGTGAAAATATATTTCCTGAGAGCCAAATACAACTATATTCAATTATTACAGTCTCCATATAACTCACTCTAAACATAAGTGATTTTTCATTGTATGAAATAAAGGACTCTGTACTACTGTTTTATTATAAACAGTGCCTGTAAGACAAAGACTAAAAATATTGAGAATTCTGTGTAAAACACAAGACTCGGGATATTCTCAAAAAAATTAACAGCGTAAATCAGAAGCAGAGTTTATGGTACAAATACATATTCTTCATTTGTCACTGCTTTACCATTTCACAAAATTTTTAACTCGATTACCAAAACAATCCCAAACAGAGCCAATTTAAATATCATTAAACTCATTTTACTAACTGAATAATGTGCACAGTAGAAGACTGCTCAATTGTTTTGCAAATAAAATGTTTCAAAATCCTATCAAGGGGAAAATGAGATTTTTATTGCTTATCAGATTATCACAAATTTACACAATACTGTCTAGCATGTCAGCTGATTTAACTTTCCCGGAAGAAATGTACACTAACCTGTGATATTTGATCCATGAGCTCTGCATCATACCTCTTGTGATTTGTCCTAAAGATATTGTAAGAAAAGTATACACACAAATATGCACTTACGTTTACTATCACTTATATAGGACAGCTAGTCCTGTAAACATCCTACATGCCCATTAGCAGGGAAATGCTAAACCAATTACAGTACATCTATTAGATAAGATAAATATGGTGATGTAGCTCTATATAATATTAAATGTTCTCCATAAAGTCCTATGGTTAAAAGAAAGCAATTAAAGTTCTTAAATATAATATAATCCTTTTTTACTTGAAAATATGTACAAAGCAATACAAAATATAACTTTAGGAAAATCAGTCAACATACCGCCACTTTCCTCACTGTAAATCCTACTTATGAACTGGCTGTGCTGATGTATGCAACAGGGCTATGTATACAAGGACCACAGCAACTGTTAATTTCCCAACTTTCCAGGGACTAGACACAGTACAAAAGTCTGCAGCAACAAGGGGAAAGACCTTCCTTCCCATACCTTTTCTTTCCTCACCCACTTCTCACAGACTACTAGATTTTTAAAACCTTTTTCACTTCACGGTCATTGTGAGAGTTCTATTTATGTCACTTCACCTATATACACATCACTGTGATTAACTCCTGTGTACGGGATGCTCCACATACATGGCTCAGTCCGTAATGATGGACATTTGGACTATTTCAAATATTCTGCTACAAATAAAACTGCAATTCATACAATCATTAACTTTTTTCTCTTTGCACACAAGCAATAATCTCTTTTCCTTTTCCTCCAAAATGATTTTGATCCCAAAGCAGTAATTGTTGGGTTATTTCAAATTTTAATTACTAACAACCTTCATCCAAAAAGACTCTGGCAATTTCTGGTCCCACTAAAAAAAATCTCCATTTCCTTACACTTTGCGAAAGTTTAGCATTAACCATTTATCTCTCGATAAGCTCACAGACACAGTAATACTTCACTGTGGTTTTGATGTGCAGTTTTACAAATCTCTGCATGATGGCATTTTATTTCTGTATCTGCAAATTGTCTTTTTATTCTACTTAGAGTATTTATTCACCAAGTATTTACTGAACACCTACTAACACTATGTAGGACAGATCAGTACAGGCTATTTATTTATTTGTATTTTCCCTGGTACTTGGGACTGAACCCAGGGCCTTTGTACTTAGCTACATCCTCAGCCCTTTTTAGAAGTTTTTTATTTTGGGAAAGGGTCTCACTGAATCACTGAATTACCCAGGCTAGGCTGCAACTTGTGAACCTCCTGCCTCAGCCTCCCACAGTGTTGGGACTACGAGGGTCACGGCAGTTTTACATAAGGCGGCGGGGGAAAGCCTTACAGTAAAAACAGTATTTAAGTATAGATTTCTGGCAGGTTTTTCCATGTCTGTAATACTAATCCTTATCATGTATGTTGTAAACATTCCCTGTTAGGATGGTTAGGATGTTAGAGATCTTTTAATGTTTTTGTGTCAGGTTTTTTTTCTTTCTTGTTCTGTGGATTGAACCCACTAAGCCTTGTGTCACTTTTTCCTGTTGAAGACTAATTTTTCATTATATCAAAATTATCTACTTTCTTGATAGCTTCTGCATGTTGTGTCAAGGACACTTCCTATTTGTGGCATCTGCTAATGTTTGACTTCTTCTGACCAGCTTATTTTCTCTTTCTTAATTGTGTATGTTCAGTTCTACTATTTTTTTTTTTTTTTTTTTTTTGGTGGTACTGGAGGTCGAACTCACAACCTTGCGCTTGCCAGGCAGGCACTTATGCCACTGAGCTATATCTCCAGCCCCTATATATTCAGTTCTAGTATGTTTTACGCTGGTGTTCTTTCTGCTGAAGGATTTGAGGTTTAAAAATCGTTCTTCAGATCCCTGAATCAATTTTCCCAAGGCTGCCTGGCGTTTGGTGCTGCGGAGAAGTCTCCTTCCTTGGGGATTAATCAGGACCCTTCCTCTTTGGCAGCTATTAGGGTTATTATTCTTTTTAATTCTTCTGTGTTCTGAAGTTTCAACCTGGTGGGTATAAATCTTTTTTCACTAATCCTGTCCTGTCTTGTCTTATAGCATGAAAACTCATGTTTTCCTTCAGGTCAAGAAACCTTTTAGTTACTTCTTTAAATTAATTATGCCTTTTATTTGAAGGCACATTCTCCTGCAATACTTACTGGGTGCTGACTACAATTTTTTGCTGTGTGCTGCTCTCTGCTTCCTAAACCCTTCTTTCCAATCTGTTCCCCTTGTAAATTGTGTTTTCAGATAATTTCTCAGCTTAGATGCCCTATCTGGAGGTATGAGGCAACTCAGCCTATTAAATGGATTTTTATTGTGACAACCATAGTTTTATGTACAAGACTGTCACACACCATTTAAAGCAGTCAGTTCTTATTCTACCTGACAGCTCTCGTAACCTCTGAGAATACCCACCACACGGCCCTCCAACACGCTGGCCAGTTGACCTACCATTTTGTTTCCCTGGGCGCAGGCGCTTCTCCTTAGGGAATCTGTATCAGCCTTCACGCCGCGCCCTGCTCTGCCCAGGGGCTTCCTGGCTGCCGTCTCACCTGTCTGCGTGCCCAACTCCGGATAAGCCCAGCTTGTGTGCTGAGACCCTGGGGCAGCAGGGCTGCTGCTCGGCCTCTCACACTGGAGCCGCTCACACAGCCCTGCTGGTCCCAGGTATCCTCTGTGCAAATGACAAAAGGCTGTCCTCTTCCCCAGGGGGACACATACACTAGCTTCCTTCGAACAAGACACCGTCACCCACACCTGCCAGCCAGGGAGCGTGGTAGAGACACAGCTCTGGCTGGGGTGCGTTGGTTCCCTCAGGGCTGGGCAGGGATATTGTCACTGGCCTGAGGATCATACTCAGCCCCAGCCTGTGACACAGCTACGCAGGCTGTGGCAGCTCAGGTATTATAGGAAGGTCCCAGCTCCCAGCCCCCAGCGCTGACTGCCTCTCGTGGCCTGAGAACTAGGTGCCTCCTGCCTCAGAATTTAGAGGCTCCTCAGACACTCTTGCCACAGTTTGCACTGTCCTTCTGCCCACCAGTCCAATGCCCTCCATCTTCTCATCCTTAGGAAACTCCCCCAGGCTTCACAGCAACAGCTCTGCTTTTCAGCTCGGGTACTGACTGGGGTGAGCACCAGCAAGTTCCAGGGTTGGAGGAGCAAGGCGGTGCCTAGACCTAGTTCATCTTCTCAGTCCCATCCCCATGTTTACTTCAAAGTATTTCCAAAGGTCCCAAAGTCTGTTTGGTATGCAGACTGGATATTGCAGGAAAAGTGACTTTTTTCTTAAATAGCTAATAAAAACGTAATGGAAAGGCTGTAAATCTAAAACTTTCCAAAAATACAAAGTTTATTACAAAAAAAAGAAAAAAATATCAGAGGCCTGCTCTGCCTGCCTAAAAAATTATGGAGTGAATTTATATTCCTTCAGTGCCTCTGGCCCACAGCAGAGGCCCATTAAAGGAAAGGAGACCTCGTCATTTCCCCTGCATTCCCTGTATCTGGATGATAACCCATTATCCCTGGGACGCTCCCTGTGCTCTTAAGCCTGATAACTGTTTCGTGCTTTGGTAGATGAAATGCAAGTAATGTGTCTGCGATGCTCGTTTGTCAGTCGTTATGCAGATGCAGCAGAAAGTCGTGGGTTTCCCATAAAATATTCAAAGACCCCTGCCCCCCAGCCTGGCTCATCTCAAAGGAGAAGAGGACCCTGGAGTTCTCCCGCCTCCTGACGCTCTCCGGTCCTGCTCCAATCGGAAACCCACTGTGACATGGGGGAGCCGTGGCTGGGACAGGCGGGGATGGGGCACGGGAAGTTGCTGAGAGGAGGAACGCAGACATGGTGGAAACAGAGGTGAGGAGGAACGAGTGGCCTCCAGGAAGAGGGAGCACCTACCTGCCGGGAACAGCCCTTCTCTGTGCTTGCCTGCCCAATCGTTATTTTTCGTAGAAATCGATCATTGGTATCCACCACTGAAAAAGAACAGATTACTTATTCAGTCAACAAGCAGGGCTTGGCTGCCTGGAGTACAGAGGAAAGGGCGGAAGACACAAGGGCCGGCTTCTCTCTAGGAATCCAATAAACACGAAAACTCCTGCTAGAGCCTTAAGAAGATCATGGAGGCTGCAGAAAGCATGTGTCAGGTGATGATGGGGATGCAGTTGGGTAGAATGCCCGCTTGAAAGTGGGCAGCAAGGACGGGTACTTCTAAAACGATGACATTTCATAGGACACCTGAGTCACAACACGTCAAGCCCCTTTCACATAAAGTTAAAGGTAACAACTACGTGACCCAGTGATCTTACTTTCATGCATTATCCAAAAGAATTGAAAGTGGGGACTTGAACATGTATTCGTACCCTCATGTTCACAGCAGCATTTACCACAGCCAGAAGGCAGAAGGAACACAAGTGTCCAACGACTTGAATAGATAAACATCTGGCATGTACCTGCAATGGAGTACTACACAGCCATGAAAAGAAGGGCATTTTAACCCATGCCACAAAGCGAATGAAAATCAGGGACATTAAGCTTAGTGAAATATGCCAGACATGGAAGGACAGATATTGTATGATTCTACTTATACGAGGCACCTGGAATAGGCAAATTCATACAAACAGACAACAACAGAAATTACCGAGAGCAGAGGAGGAATTATTATTTAATAGGGACAGAATTTTTGCTGGGGGTGATGAGGGTTTCGTAACAGTGGTGATGGTATGATTATAGTGAATATATTTAATACCATGAATTGTACACTGGTAAATGGTTAAAATGATAACTAGGATGGTATGTAGATTTTGCCATAATAAGAAAGAACATAAAAGCATCCCTGGGGAAAGCAGCTGACGTATGAGCAGAGCTGGCCCTGATTTTCTTTGTTTCACTGGTTTGTTTCAGTTGCACTGATTCAGGTTTTTTCTGTGAAAATGAGATTTGCTTTAGTAAAAATCAAATTTACAATGCCAGGAAACAAAGCCCGAAGGATAGAGATGTGGCTTCAAATAACATGCAGCTCCTGGTGACAGCCGACACACACCTTACCAGATGGATAATAGGGCTCTGATAAAAGTTCGGGGGTGGTGCACATCTGCAGGGTAAATGACGCTCATCCTGCTCTGATACACGAAGTACCCACAAGCCACACATATGCATGGGTGCAGAGCACACTCACCCACACATAAACCTTCCTTGTGACCTAAAAACTAAAAGGCCTGCTTCTCCATACTGTCACTAGCTACTACTTTTATTTCCTAGCTGCAAAGCAAAAATACCGCCCCCCTTATCTGATGAGTAGAATCTACAATCTTGGTACCAGACTGAAGTGATCTTTTTATCAACTTTCGTTGAAGTTAGCAATGGAAATTCAGTTGTTGTTGCTTGTTTTGTTTCGTGCGTACGTGTAGCAAAGAGACAACATGCAAGCATAAAAAAAAGTGCTCGGCGAGGTCAGTTATAATCAGTGGCCCCTGAGCCAACCGGGCCACCTCTTACTCCACTGGCGTTCTGACATACAAGGAAAGACGTGTGTAAAGTGCCACTGATACACAAAAGAGGAAACATGAAAGTTAATTCCAAACCACAAGAAAGACAGATGCCAGCCAGTAGCCCAGCGTCAGTGACACACGGTTCCTGTCCTTTGTAGGACAGAGCTGACAGCAGAGTAAGCAGCTTTACCAAATGGATAATACGGCTCTGATAAAAGGGTGACAGAGACTATATATTCGGGGGTATGAGCACATTTGGCATGACACAGGATGAAGCAACCACCGGGTTTTGCACACAGGGTGAAACAATGGGGTGATCATCAAATGGTCTGACCCATTTCCCTGAGGTTTTTAACCTATCCGCCCTCACTGGCACACGGAGAGTCCCCCTATAGATATCAAGTCATCCCAGAATCTAATCTCAGCACAGGGATTACACTAGTTCTAGGTCTAAACCAGAAAGCTCTGCTAGCAAATGTCCTTCACTCATCTGCTGGAGAATGCTGTTTCTCACATTAACATAGGGTAATCAGAGCCAAGCTACTTCTCAAATGTCAGTCCAAATTCCTCTGAGCCGGGTGGCTTGTCCATCGCAATAAAGTTTTCTTCACATTAGTGCTCTGAACAGAAATATAACGCTAGCGTTTTTCTGGAATAATTTTTAAAGATTGATTTGTAACCACAGAACTCTCCAGCTCTTCCTGCTACTCAGAGAGAACCCAAGGGTGCACGGCCCGAGGTGCAAGAGGTGACACAGCCTTCCTCTTCCATCCACCACCGGCCACTGTCCTGTTTCTGATGGCTGCCCAGGCTGAAGTCCCAAAGCAGACAGGAAAGAACGCCATGCGAGGAGACAGTCCTCTCAGTGTATTCACATGCATGGTTTAAAATATATCACTCTCCGTCTACATGGTTTTGCTTTTACAAGTAAACTTCTAAAAAAGTTTCAAAGAATAACACAAACTCAGAAATGCCCTGAAAAGACTGATGATATATTTTGGACATGTGACATTTTAGTAATTAACTTTCCTAGTCAAAATTTAAAAAAAATTAGATTTCTCAATAAAACGTTGAAAATATTCATGTAGGTTGATTCAAGAATAGAACCTAGGAAAGCTGTGGTTCACCCACAAAGGAATATTCTGGAACCACTGAAAATGGCTGTATAACAGCTAATCACAAAGAAAAAATGCTTCTGATATAAATGATGCTAGTAGAATATAACACTGATACACCTAAATCATAACAGAACTACAAAAAAACTAGATGTAACCAAAAAAAAAAAACCCTATAAATAGTAGCACTACTAGGAAAGGGAGATAAAAGTTTCTTATTCTTTTGATACATTTCTAACATCTGCATAATGGTATTATTTATTTTTAAATGAAAAATAGGTCCACACTAGTTTCCAGGAGATTTGTAACCTCTCTGGGAAACAAACACACACAAAAAAATCTCCACACACACTTCTTACCCCAGGCTGTCTATGCATTGTCCATCTGGGCTGTGCTTGCGGTCAGTAAAGTCTGCTCACATTTCTGTGGCGCCTCCTGATGGCGTGGCTGCTTGAGCGTCTCTAACCTCAAAATCTGAAATGTTCTCAAATCTGTAATTTCCTGAGGGCTCGTGTGATATCACAAGTAGAAAATTCAACACTACGAAGTGTTGTTTCATGTACACAGTTATTAAACATATTGTACAAAATTACCTTCAGGACATGTGAATGAGGTGTCTATGAAACATCAGTTTTGTGTTTAGGTTTAGGTATCCCTAAAATATCTCATCATGTATATGCAAATATTCTAACACACACACACACACACACACACACACAAACTCAGCACCACTTTTGGTCCCAGGCACGTGGGATCAAAACCTGTGCTTAAAGTTTCACGTTAAAGGCATTAAAAGTCTCTGCACTTTGTCTCTCAATTCTTAGTGCCTGGCTGCTATAGGGAAGCTTCATAACAGGGTGAGACCTGGGCCAGCCCGGGGAAGGCAGGACCCCGAGAGGCAGGGGGACAAGGGGTGCTGGGCCAAGGAGGGTGGTGGAAGGTCAAGGGCAGCCTCCTGACTGCGCAGTGGTGAAGCCACACCACTGAATGGTTCCCTTATCACCAGGATGTCAGGTCAGCACCTCTGCCAAGACGAACCCACTGAATTGCGGGGACTGAGATGGAGACATGCGAATGTATAAAGATAACAGCTGCAAGCCCGGCATTTGGTGAACACGTTCTGCAGGGGGTAGAAACGGGATATCGGTGGAAGGAGGTCTGAGAAGGGAAAATCAAGAACACACACCACTGAACACTTCGGCGGCCCAGACTGTCATCCAGGGTGGCTGCCGCACTCCCGAGGAGTCCAGCCCACAACCCATTCCTGGCACACAGGGCCCAGGACAGGTCGTGGCCAGTGACTCGCTCAAGGCGGTACAGCCAGGCAGGGGCAAGGCCGGCCCACACCTCAGGCCCCTGACTCACATGCCAAGCCCTGCCCTCCTCAGGCCTACCCCACAGTGACTGACCAGATACTGGGGGCCGCATGGGAGTGAGCAGGGGCGGCACAGCAGGGGCAGCCAGGGAGCCCAGCAGGAGCCGCTGCAGAGTGGGCAGCTGTGCTCCAAGAGATCCAAGGAGACCTGGCCAACAGCTGGAAGCACCTACAGACCGGGAAAAAGCACAGCACCCAGGACAGCACCCAGAGATCACAGAGCTGGTGGGAAAGACGTGGAAGAAAGAATCGGGTTGGAAGGCAAGCCGACGGAACAAGAAAGGGAAATGCAGCTTTAATGTTGTGTAAAAGGCAGAGAGAAGGCAGGACGTGGTGGTGCACACCTGTAATCCCAGCACTCGGGAGGCTGAGGCAGGAGGATCCCTGTGAGTTTGACACTAGCTTTGGCTACAAACTGAGCTCAAGGCCAGCCTGAACTGCATAGCAAGACCCTGTTTCAAAAAGACAAAGAAAAGCTGGGCGTGGTGGCGCATGCCTGTAATCCCAGCACTAGGGAGGCTGAGGCAGGAGGATCGTTGTGCCTTCAAGACCAGCCTGGGCTACAAAGTGAGCTCAAGGCCTGCCTGAACCCCACTGTGAGACCCTGTCTCCAGAAGACAAAAAAAAAAAAAAAAAAAAAACGACAAAAAAGAAGAGGACAACAGAGGCCCAGGAAGAGTGACACAGAAAATTAATTTTCCTTGGAAATTTGGAGGAGTGGGAATGAGCCCAGATGGCAGTTGGTTTAAATAAGAGGCAAGAAGGACGGAGGAAGAAGGGAAAATACAAGTAATGGGAAGAAAGAGGGTTATGAAACCCAGACTGGGGTTTCCAGGAAGACAGCACCTCGAGCTCCAGCGGGAGCCGCTCTCCTAGCCCCGCCCTCGGTCCCCAGCACCCACCTCTCTGCCACGTGATGGTGGCGGGGTCGATGTTGAGACGGGCGAAGCTGCTCATTTCCTCCTCAGTCAGCATGCTTGGGTCAGTCTTATTTATCCCCAGTTTCTAATGATTAAAAACAAGTGAGAGGTTTGAGAAGGAGCAAAACCCACAGCCATGCCTCTTTATTTTCTGCATGATCAGTGAAGCCTGTTCAAAAAGCTCTACTTTGAGTAAACTGCAGGTTACGTCAAATCCTACCAGTGCATGCCTAAGTCCAAATATTCTCTGCAAGGGGAAGTCGCTGAACATCTGTAACAGACGCTTAACACGGGACAGCTGGAAATGGAGCCAGTGCGCCTTGCTACTGGCTGTCTCCTCGGAAGGTCCCCGGGCTGCTCTGCTCTGTGTGACTGTGCTCAGAAGGGACAGGCATCGCTGTCCATATAACCGATGCTTTAGTTCATTACTTCTCTCCGTCAATGTAAATAGCAATAAAATGGCCGGGCGTGGTGGTGCATACCTGTAACCGGCTGAGGCAAGGACTGCCATGAGTTCAGGGTCAGCCTGAACTCCACAGCAAGACCCTTTGTCAAAAAAATTAATCAATAAAAGAGCAATAATTCAGGTCAAGTTTATGTCTAAGTTTCAAAACAAGTTATTTTTAAGACACTGAGAAAGTATTAAAAATTTTAGCTAGGCGTGGTGCTGCATGCCTGTAAACCCAGCACTCGGAAGGCTGAGGCAGGAGGATCGTTGTGAGTTCAAGGCCAGCTTGGGCTACAAAGTGAGCTCCAGGCCGGCCTGAATTGCATAGCAAAACTCTGTCTCAAAAAGACAAAAAAAAAAAAGTTAATGCACTTATTTCTGTAAAGAAAATATCTTCAAAAAAAAAAAAACAAAACCCCCCAAAAACAACAAAACAAAGAAAATATCTTAAGAAAGTGGTTTTTAATGAAGTATGAAAAAAAAGGAATCCAGGAAACAGAAACCATGTATGCTGTAGCCATAGAGGACGGAATTACTCACTATCCCTGACAAATGCAACATGGCTCGGTAACAAGCAAGGAGGTGAATTTAGAAAACCATTTATACAATGCGTTATTGTAACTCTTGTGCTGGTTTCAAGTGCATATACTAAAATTACTGTCACTCTCCTACTAGCCTGTTTTGAAACTGTTTTACTGTTATGATTATTTTTTCTCCTTAATATAAAAAAATCAAGTTTTTTCTGACATAACTAAATAACTAACTAAATAAATAAAATTATCAAGAGCAGGGATGTTTGAATTCAATACTTTTGTCACTGAATGCATCCTACATTTCCTATTTGTAATGGTTGACCCACTGTGTCAACTGGAGAAGTTTAGAAGCTTGACTAAATGACTCAGCAGGGAGCCAGGGTCCTCACTTTGTAAACACCCTCAGCCTATGGGAGGAAGGCAAGCGTAAGGTGAGGGTGTGAAGGACCCACCGCAGGGTGGAGAGCCTGCATAAAATACAAGGGAGGGGAAGACTCTTGCTCTTCCCCCTTTTGCTCTCTTATTGCTTTTGCCGTGTTCTGTGTTCTTCGCCTTGAGCTGTTGCCCCTCCCAAGCCATCTTGCCTTGGAGTCAACTGACTGGGGACTGAAATGTCCACAAACTGGGCGCTAAATAAACCTTTCCTCCCTTTAAATAAATAAATAAATAAACAAAACCATTTAGTACCACAGTGCTTGGGGAAGCAATGTGAGAAGCAGATCAGAATCGGCGAACAGTACTAAATACAGATCGCGAGGGGAAGAATCATGATAGCTTTCGCCAGCATAAGGAGGGTACCTTGCTGCAACGCGAAACTGAGACAGGCTACCTTCTCATTTCTTAGAAATATAACAAATGTAGCAACACTTCTCTTTAAAGAGAGGATGCATAAAAATTCAGTTTGTCAGTCTGACCTGGTACTCACAGACTGGCAAAGCAGGCCTCTTATTTCATACGCAATGAAAAAGAATCCTAGAAAGTTATTTGTTCACCTGGCTCTTTGTGTAGGATTCAGGTTTCAAGTGTCAAATACTAGTTATACTGTTTTCTCCAAGATTTTAACACCCAAAAGAGTGTAAAAAAACCAAAACTGAGTCAAGTTCAAAATTTCTGGTTTTGGCAATACTTGGGATGTATTTACAGGGTATGTTCTGTTTTTTCTTTCTTTGGGTCTTTTTGAGACAGGGTCTCACTATGCAGTTCAGGCTGGCCTTGAGCTCACTTTGTAGCCCAACCTGGTCTCAAAATCTCAACCATCCTCCTGCCTCAGCCACCTGAGTGCTGGGATTACAGGTGCGCGCCACTACAACTGGCTTCTTCTGTTTATTTTAAAGAACAGAATACTGGAAACTTACTTTCAGCCGAGCAAGCTGAATTTCTGAAAATTCTCTGACACCATTCACCAAAGGAACCAGTCGATTATATAGAGCCTGAGAAAACAACAATAAAAAAACGAAAGTTTAAGGGGGACTATGCACTTGGACAATTCTCAGGACATGACAAAATTCATTACATGTATAGCCAAACTATTTAGATTACAGGTCCTACTAAAACTTTGAGACTAATATAAACAATGGAGTCTTAAATTTTGTCATTAGTGAAACTGTCTAAATATGAAATAATGCACATTGCAAAGATTTTGAATAAATATGTTTCATGAGCTACAGCCTTACAACTAACTATCAAATTAACATTTATCCAGATTCTGTTCCAAAGACTCACCAGGGAATTAATTTAAGTGAAGAAAGTCAGTACCCTTGCAAAACATTCCAGAAAGTACCGTTCCTATCCACACCCTGTGTCTGGGAGGAATCAGCAGCCAGTACTGTCCTTCCAGGTGTGTGACTGAACTCCTAAACCACACGCATGTGAAACTCAGCAAGTATCCCTGATCTCCTTCACAGTGCATCTTAGATAGCTGTGCGTAACATCAGTCATAACAAGACACTATTTCTCCAGTCTCCCGTTTGATGTAGACATTGAGCCCAAGGCCAAGATGAACAGACCGGATCTATCAATGACCTTTAAAACTAAAGACTCAACTACAATTTGGCTTAAAAAGAAAAACATAATATAATTTTTCCAACGACTTGACAGTGGCCATAAACCCAGTTGAGAATCTGACCAAAGTGTATCTTCACCTTAGAAAATGGGGCCATTATAAAAGTCACAAAATTTTGAGGAAAATTTCAGTTTACAGACTCTACAAGTCTTGCAGTGAAAGCCTGAAGGATTCAAGAGTCCCAGAATAACTTCCCAAAATAGCTCACAGAGAGTCCTTCTTACCTTATCCGTTTGAGTACTTTCATGCAAAATCCTTGTGTCAATGGCTGCAGCCAGCAAGTTATTGGCAGCAGTAATGGCATGGATGTCCCCAGTCAAGTGCAGGTTGAACTGTAAATGGGGGAAAAAAAAAAAATTGTTCTGTTGGTTTCAAACAACCACGGCATTATTCAAAGACTGGCTGGATAAATAGAACAGTATGTGAAGTACATCTCCTTATAATGCACGGAGTCCACAGACAGCCTCAACCAGAAAATCTATACCAAGGTCTTCCTCACGGTAACAGAGGAGTCTCGTGCAAGCTCTCACCACAAATTCTTCCTTTCTCAGGTTAAAGGTGACACACTCTGATGGACTTAGTTCTTTTCCCCTAATTTTGGTTCTTCATTTTCACTTCCTTCACTTCCACATATCATTTTCTTATTTAGAAAACAGTACAGGGGCCGGGTGTGGTGGCGCATGCCTGTAATGTCAGCACTCAGGAGGCTGAGGCAGGAGGATTGTTGTGAGTTCGAGGCCAGCCTGGGCTACAAAGTGAGTTCAAGGTCAGCCTGAACTGCATAGTGAGACCCTGTCTCAAAAAGACAAAAAAAAAAAAAAAAGAAAAAATAAAAGAAACCCTGAGAAATAAAGAATACCGTTTCTATAACTACTAACTCTATTTTCCTTCTATTCTCATACCCACACACGATCATTATTTATATCACCAGTATACTTCTAATTTGAAATCTTTTTGTTAAAATTATACACTGAGCATCCCTAATTCAAAAATCCAAAATCTTAAGTACTTCTAAGTCTGAAATGTTCAGAGCACTGACATCATGATGACATAAGTAGAAAATTCCATGCCATGAAACTTTGCTCCATGCACAAAATTATTAAAATATTGTACGAAAGTATATTTCCATCACCTCATACCTTATACACATAGCTATGTGTATAAATAATAAAATGACATGAAAATAAGAAAATGATATGTGTATAAGGTATGTATAAATCATAAGTGAATTTCATGCTTAGATCTGGGGCTCATCTCAAAGATATCTCATTATGGAAATGTGAATATTTCGATATTCAAACAATTTGCTATCTGAAACACTTCTGGTCCCAGGCATTTTAGCTAAGGGACATTTGACTGTATTCTTTATTGGGTGCCAAAGTTGATAAATGATAGGCTTTTTTTTTGTTTTTTTTTTGTTTTTTGTTTTTTTTTCCGGTACTGGAAATCGAACTCACGACCTTGAGCTTGCCAGGCAGGCGCTGTGCCGCTGAGCTAAATCCCCAGCCCCTGTATTCTTTAATAATATTTGTGTATACTTGCACTTTAGGGGGACTACATAATTGAGTAGATGTACCAAAAGTTCCGGGTCCCTATGCCTGGATATCTAGGGCGCTTTCAAATTTTGACTTTTATAAAAAATGCTACAATTAGGAAGAATACATGCAAACAGCTTTTCCTTCAAAAAATTAATTTCTAATGAGCAACATTCCAGGAGTTATATCTTGATAATATCATCAAATTATTTTTTGAAAGGGATGAAGCCTCATCAGCAAAACACTAGTAAGATCCTTTACCTCATCTGTGTGGTTTTTTTTTTTTTTTTTTTTTTTGGTCTTTTTGAGACAGGGAGGGTCTCACTATGCAGTTCAGGCTGTCCTTGAGCTCACTTTGTAGCCCAGGCTGGCCTTCAACTTGCAACAATCCTCCTGCCTCAGCCTCCTGAGTGCTGGGATTACAGGCGTGCGCCACCACGCCCAGCTCTGACTGGTTTTAACATAGGTTTCTTTGCTTATTACTGAAGATGAGCATTCTTTGGTTAGTCACTATTTCTACTCTGATTTTGAACCCTTTGACCATTTTACCATTGGAATTCAAGTCTTTATTGGCAGCTATCTAGTACTTTATATTCTCTTAGGCATCTCATAGGCCCCAAAGGGTTTCAGGGGACTCTTCCCTTGGGACCCCAACTCTTCACCACATGCCACACCACCATTCAACCCTATACCTCCCACTGCCCTGGCCCTCCACTGATCTGCCCTGCCTAGCACCCTGACATCCCCCTTGAATCTTTCTCTTCTCTCGTTCTAACACCTAACCCACAGACATTACCAAACGAAGCTCCCACTGCCATCCTGTTCCATCCTTGCCACTACCATCCTGAGCCAGGCTGCTACCACCTCACCCCGGGGTTACCCCCACAGCCTCTTCCCTGGGCTCCTAACACGCGTACTGGGTCTCTATTGCTCTACTTCTCACAGAGACCAGAGTGATTTTTTTGAAAACCCAAGCCACACAGTCACTATCTTGTCACGATCCCCACAAAGGCTGGCCACGGCGCGTGAAATCCAGCTCCTCTCCCTCCACGCCCCCTGACCACTGGGCCCTGGCCACACTGGTGCGCTCCAGTTCCCTGAGCAGGCCAGGGCTTTCCCTCTCGGACTCAGGGCCTTCCCATCAGAGGTGCCTCGGCCTTGAGCAGCTTCTCTCATTCTTCACAAGGCTGGCTCCTTATCTTCCAAGTCTGTGTATTTTCACTTTCAATTCCTCAGTCCATCTGGAATTTATTTTAACATTTCCCCCATGACTACTTATGAAATTTCTTCCAGTACACGTTATCTATGCATGACACTCAGTCAACAAACACCCACTCAGCGTTGGGCGCTGAGCTCAGAGCTGGGGACACAGCGACGGAAGAGATGCTGAGGTGTCCAGCTTCGAGGGACACTCTCCCAGCCTGTATACTATAAGCCATGCAGCAGGTGCCCTAACCTAGACAGACACCACGCTGTGCCTTCCTTATCTGTTGGCTCAATCTAGAGGCGCTCCCCGGGGCACGCTCCTTGCACTCTGTCCCCAGCCTGGCCTCAGGTTCTGCGTCTTCCTGGCCTGTGAATGGGACGCATCATCCCCATGCAGATGTGAGCAGGGCTGAGGACCACCCCTAGACGTGTATCCCAAGTTCCTCTTGGGCATCCCTGACACTCAGGCCTCCACGAGTAAGCACTTCTCCAACTCCTTCAACAATGTTAACAAACCTTTCTTACTGAGCACTCACTGTGCCAGCACTCTGCTAAGTGCTGGGACCAAGAGGCTTAAGAGAGGTCTCTACCTCACCACAAGAGACCGAATCTGACAGCCAGAAACACAGAACACGAGGGGGAGTTTGTGGGATGGGACAGAACCTTGAGAACAGAGGCTGAACTAGGTACTGAGGGCAGGAAGGGATGGGAAAGATGCTGAGAGTCATGGGAAAGTCACGGAACAGAGAAGGCAAGGGGTTGTGGGGGTGTGTGCTCAGCACTCACAAGAGCCTGGGTTCAATCCCCAGAATTCCTCCATCAATTTATTAACTAACTAGAATAGAATAACAGCAAGAGAAAGCAGTGCAGGAGTCTGCAGGGAACTTGGTACAAGGGACCGAGGGAGGCAGGTGGGAACCTGCAGAAACGAAGCAGAAGCAGGGGCCCACTGGGGACTGACGGGAAACCTGCTCAGACAAGGGACCGGGAAGACTGCTCGGGACCTGACCACACTGCTGACACCGACAGCGGAACAGACTGGTCACTGGTTAGATACAGGGACACGGGACAGCTTATGTAGGATGAAAGCTAAAAATTCTTGGAGAATTAAGAACTGATCCCATTGGCTCTTTTTGCCCATTTTCTCTGCAACTATTTTATTTTGGAGTCTTTTTTTTTTTTTTTTTTGGTACCGGCAATCAAACTCAGGACCTTGCGCTTTCCAGGAAGGCGCTTATGCCGCTGAGCTATATCCCTCGCCCTTGGAGTCTTTTTTTTATTCCTGCAGTGCTAGCAACTGAACTCAGGGTCTCAGGCACGCTAACCAGGTACTCTACGCTGCAGAGCTATGCAGCCAGCCCTAATCCTTTGTCTTACTTTATAGATATGAAGTATCTAAGTCTTCTTAAATTAGGGAGCAGAGCAGATGCTTGACTAAGGGACCATCAACATTCTCTTGCCTCTGGTAGAGTCCTCAAATCCACAAGGGTTTCAGGATACCGAACTGTTTAGAATTTAGAAAGGTAATACGATGTACCTATAACTTACTCATAGGACACTGACCAGTGGCTTCATCAGCACCTATGTGAGACTCATATACAGCATTCATAGACAGAAAAATTTATGAATGTTCAGTAAAATATATGAACATTCACACTAAGTGGTGTACACAAAATCTATACACAGTTCCCCGAAGTCGCCAAGTTCTGCCACTGCAAGAGTCAGGCAGATGCTTCCGGTGTCTTGAGGCCCTGTGGCCTTGGGCTACAGAAGGAGACCATGTGCTGTCTTTCTAGGGGCAGAGACAAGGCGCCGGGAGGGAAGCACAGGGGTGCACGATGCGTAGCCTTACCTCTTCCATGGGGATGACCTGGGCATATCCGCCACCCGCAGCTCCTCCTAAACAACAGGACAAGCGGCATTTGAAGTCAGTCATCAAGTACAGCTACAGGGCACAGGCAGAACCCTAGGAACACAGCTTCCCAAACCCAAAAGGGAGGTAAAATAATAGGGGCGAGAAACATCGGCTAGTCTGTCGAAGTAGAAGAGAAGCAAAACAAACCGAAGCTCACACTGTAGCCTCCTATGCAACCTAAAGGTTTCCATTGCGTTACTTAGAAAACAAAGGTAAAAACAACATAGCAAATGACATTACTGTAAAACAGATCTCAGGATATGACAGCATCGTTATAAATTTATTAGTGGATCTATGTGGCTATGCTTTATCTAGATCATATATACATCGAAATACCAAAAAACTTTGTTTTTAACAAAAACACTTGCAAAAACCTCTGAACCATAAATTAAGAGCTTCAGCCAGTTTATTTCAGCTAATACTAGGGAAGCCTTGTCACGCTGCTTCTCCCTCAAAACATTAGTTCTTACATGAAAAAGACCCACCTCATGCATGTCCACATCACTCTGAAGTTCACCTTGTTCTTTCCACGCTATCTCAATTGAGCCTCACAATGCAGTGAGCCTGGTACCTCAAGCCTTTTTACCCTTTTACAGACGTGGCTCAGAGAGGGAATGGCTGGCTACAGGTCACACAGCACTAAGAGACACAGCTGTGAATAAAATCTCAGCCTTCTCACTCCAAGTCTCATGCTCATTCCACCAGATAATGTCTGACCTTCTGTGCGTTATCAGTACTTACTGAGCTGGGAGTTATTAATATTTATAACGGTAATAGAAATATACTATGGCTAAAAAATACAAAACTGCCAAGAACACACAGTAATTGCAGCAATAAGCGCCAGTGTCAGTGAGCTCAGGAGTGACTTCATGACAAATCAACAAAAGAGGAGTAATGAATGCGAAGGTGCCAGACGTCAGCCCGGCCACAGCCAGAGAGATCTGTGCACAGCCGGGGTGTCTCCGAAACACCCCGGGCCCCACACAGCAACTCCCATGGGTGGCACCGGGGGCTGACCTACGGGCCCTCTCAGGGTTTAGAGGGACAGACTTTTCACCACGGCCGGGATGACAAAGCACCCACGTGATTGGAAGGGTTTCAAAATGCTTGGCAGGGGAGGCGCGGATGAGACAGAAGACTCCACCTCAGGCGGGAGGCCTGAGCAACTGAGTCAACAGAATGGGTTTCCGGGGGGCTCCACTGAAGACCCCCACCCTGCATATCTTTGTGCATGGAGGACTAACTTAGGCTGACTACCATGTACTGAGTATATGATAGATGTAGTGTGTGTATGTGTGTATGTGCGCGGGTGTATACATGTGCAGAGATGAAATGTGCCACTTCTTCTGAAAAGCTTTAACCGTAAATGGCATTCTCTTAAAACTGCCCCCCAATTTTGCTCTGAAAAGTGTATTAATGGCTAAACAAAGTACCTTTCACTCCGAAAGTCGGCCCTTGGGAGGGCTGCCTCAGGCAGGCAAAGGAGTTGACGTTCAGGTGGGCGGTCAACGCTTGCACCAGCCCGATGGTGACAGTGCTCTTCCCTTCTCCAAGAGGGGTGGGCGTGATCCTGATTTGTGCGAGAGGGGAGAAGCAAACTGAATCATATTTCCACGACAACCTATGCAAAGCCAGCCTAGGATACCAGAACCGAATCACGATGTTGGTAGAGAACAAGCCATTTCCAAATCTGCTAAGAGTGCAGTTTCTTGGACCTCTACAATCTACCTTGGTGTTTCAGGCCATGCTTAAGTTAAACTCAAGACAGACACAAAAAAGGCACAAGACCAAGAGACCAAAAAAGAAAGGTACTGGGGACTGGTGCTAGGAACATTATCGATTTCAAGAAATGACAGAAAACACGCACCAAGGCGGTTTTAACAACTAAGCTAGTGTTGTCTCTTCCTGGCGGGTAACTTGGCATTCTTCCTTCCAGGGACATCGGGGGCCCAGAGTGGGCACAGGACCTAGCTTAAGGGTCCCAGAGTGACTGACACAGTCAGATTCTCAGGATCAGAAGGGACCCTGAAGTCCCCACTCATCCATCTCCTTCCTTCCCGATGTCCTGCCCAGAACTTGCCCCCGCCATGGTGAACAGACAATGACAGAAGCCCATAACCTCCAGGGTGACTCGGGCTACACAGTCAGAAGCTTTTTGGTTCTGAAAGAGAAACAGCGTGTTTGTGTCGCTTCCTACTTCTTGGAGTCCTGTACAGTAAGCTTACACCCCTTTCACACGACAGCTCTTCACACATCCACTCTAAGGAGGAAACATGTGCTCCAGAGGAGCCAATTTTGATGACACCTTACAAAGACATTCACATGTTCATAGCATCAGTGGGGTATTAACTGACAGGCAAGGAACTTACTACATTCTCAAGTAAGGCCCCTTAAACTGTTCTTTAGCATATTATAAAAATCACTAAAGCAAGCCGGGCGTGGTGGCACACACCTGTAATCCCAGCACTCGGGAGGCTGAGGCAGCAGGATTGTTTCGAGTTCGAGACCAGCCTGGGCTCCGAAGTGAGCTTAAAGCCAGCCTGACCTGCATAGCAAGACCCTGTCTCAAAAAGATTGAAAAAAAAACAAAACAAAACACTAAAATTTGAAAATACTGTCATTTGGGTTTATAAATTGGTTTTCTATGAGTTACACTGTATGAGTCATTACATTGGGGATACTCAACCTCACTAAATCATGGTGATGGGGTTTTCTTTTCTTTTCTTTTTTTTGGTTTTTTTCTGGTACTGGAAATCGAACTCACGACCTTGCGCTTGCCAAGCAGGCGTTGTGCCACTGAGCTAAATCCCCAGCCCCAGTGATGGGGTTTTCTGACCTACAAAACCTAGTGATGTGAACACAAGCAGGAAGTAATGACCTTAGATCATCCCTGTCCACAACTCTCAGACCTCTCCTCCCCACCATGCTCAATCACTCACGCAGCAAATGTTTAAGTACTTCTATGAATCGGGCACTCTGCTGGACCCTGGGTTACAGTGATGACCAAGTCAGATTCCATCTCTGTCCTCCCAGGACGTCTGGGTAATGGCAGATACAGGTAACTCAGCAATGTGAGAAACACCAAGACGCAGAAGTAGGCGATTAGACTGTTCATGGCGCACATTAAAGTAGGATCTACTAGACTTTGAACATCAGAGGTGTCCCGCAGGAAGTAATATCTAAACAGAGACCTGACAAATGAATAAAAGTTAGGCAGACAAGACTGAGAGTGGGTTCAGGGCAGTGAAAAGGCAAGGCACAGAGCTTTGTATTTTTTGAGGTTAGTTATTTGTATCCTCATGTGATAGAGGAGGAAATGGAGGCAGAGAGAATTTGAGTAACGTGTCCCAAGTCACGCAACGAGTAAGCGGTAGGGCTGGGCATGAAACTCAGGCAAGTCATCCAACTTCCTGACCTCACTAGGTTATTTCTGCACTTGGAATGGTAACTACAATTAGCAATTTGAAGCACGGAATGTGTAGGATACTCCAGAGAGGGAACATAGTAAGGAAAGGGGTAAGGTAGCACAGTGAAGTGGATTTCACTTTTTTTTTTTATACACTCAGTATTGGCGACTGAACCCAGGGGCCTCCACAATGAGTTATATCCGTACACCTTTTTACTTTGAAACGAAGTCTTGTTAAATTGCCCAGGCTGGCCTCGAACTTTGGATCCTCCTGCCTCAGCCTCCTGAGTGCCTGGGACTACAGGCACAAGCAGTCAAAAGAGATCAGAAGGAAGCTGAAAGGAGCAGTATAAAGGAAAAGAACAACAGGGGAGGCAGAGGGTGCCAGGGGCAGCTCAAGAAGAGGCCACTGAGGTGGCTTAGAGATGACAGGAGTCACAGGGCACTGAGGTTTGCAGCAGGGTGAGGACCAGGGAGGGTCCACGGAGGGTGCATGTAGTGCCAAGGTCATGGTGGTCTCTGCAGTAGGGGGTGGTGGTGAGCCATCCTGAACAGTGCTTGGTGAAATAAACCTCTCACTCCCAAATCACAGGGCAGTGGCTTATCAGTCGCTTCTGCACCCATCTGGACAGCGCCTTACAGAGCAAGGGTCAATCAGAAGGTGAAAAGTCACACAAAGATGTTTATACTTTGAGTCAACGTTCTACTTTTTTAGGTGAAGTATGAACAAAAGCAGTTAAAAGCCCACAAGCATCAGAATATCATGAAAAAAGATACAGCATCACACACAGTATAGTTTCACTACCCCAGTGAGCACATATTGTTTGCAAAGGAACAGCCGTGTCAGATACGAGATCACATTTTCATTCCCCAGGACCAGCTAGCTCAGTGGCCACGCCCTGCGGTGACCTCTGCAGCACTTCAGCAAGCCATCCAATTCTTAATTAGAAACACAGGCCTGCTCAGCTCGCTGCCAATGAATACAATTCAGGAAAATCAGAAAGTAGGAAGTATTTATTGGGAGCAATAAAAAGAGAGCTTCAATAAAAAAAATTATTTCACCTCATCCCTACATTTAGTATCAAAATTCGGTTTAATTCTTTCCTTAGTACCCTTATCTCAGATTCTAAATCATCAAGTTGATTTCAAAAATAAGCACCACAATTAATTTTAGTTCCTTTTTCTGTTTCTTTCTTCTTCTTTTTTTTTGTTTTTGGTCTTTTTGAGACAGGGTCTCGCTATGCAGTTCAGTTTGGCCTTGAGCTCAGTTTGTAGCTCAGGCTGGTTTCGAACTCGCAATGATCCTCCTGCCTCAGCCTCCCAAGTGCTGGGAATACAGGCGTGAGCTACCATGCCCGGGCTCCTTTTTCTGTTTCTATGAAATTTTAGCTTATGGGAAAGGGTCTGTGATTTTTATTAACCTCCTTGCTGTCTAAGCATGTGCATGGGCTCCCTTTCTGATATCCACCCCACTGCATTTATTCCAGGATCATTATATGACTTTTCAGAAGGCACCATAAAGAAGGTCTGCCAAGTCTGTGCTGTCACTGGCCACAAGCTTGCCGAGGTGAAGGGGACAATGCCCACCCTCCTCGCACCTACTGTTCAGGGACACACCAAAAAAAAAAAAAAAAGAACAAAAAACCCCAGGGGATGATGTAATGATGCCTTTTCCTAGATAAACATCACTTACTGTCAACTACAGTGAAAATGTTCTGGGACATCAAAGTGCTCTGTGACAATTTGGACACAATCTGAAAGAACTTTATCACTCACTCAAAGATCAAAGAGATTCCTTATACAGAGACAAGTGGTAAAATTTTGAAGTCTTGTTGACCAGTATTATTGGTATTACCCACATGAATTGCAAAACTATATGCTCAAGCAGTGTATGAATATATATCATTCTTTCCAGGCATCTGTATCATTTGGAAGGTTTTTAAAAGCCTTTTATTATCTAACAATAAACCCTATGGTCCATTTGGTTGTGTTTCTCATTACATTCGAGCAAGGTAAACAGTTCAAAGGCCCTGGTTTCTTCTAAGTATCTTTGTTCTACTCCACAAGTAGTACAAAGAAAGACACATATTTAAATAGTTATCTAAGGTAGAGAGGAAAAATGTTAGAAAACTCAGTGTTGGTTATATTAATGTTCCACCAAAATAATGAGGTGAAACGTTATTTAAAAATTAGGTACTTGGCACTCTGAGGGAAAAAAAAATGAAGTGACATGAATGATCTTAATTTTTCTTTAACATGAAATCCAGTCTAGTCACAGACCAGGTTAGGCTTCTTTTTCAGTTTTTCTGTCGAAGCAATTCAGAGAAATTCTAGAACCTTCTGCGTGGAAATCAGTGAAGGTCTAGGAGAGACTGAGCACACATTCAAACGCCCTGCAGCTGCACTCCGAGTCAAGCTCTCAAACAAAATTCCTTTTCATTGGTGTAACTGGGAAAGTATGTAAAACTCAAGAGCCCCAAGATTCTTTTGGCATATTTCCCTGAACAATTCCCAATCCTTTTCATTTTGTCAGGCAAAGCAAATAAAATGATGTGTAGGTGTAAATACCATGCGATGTGTAGCTGATGAAATACAGATGATTCTGACTGAATAAGAAAGCCTAAAGTTTGAAGAATGGCTTTATAAAAAGAGTTAATCTGTTCTGTATTTGAGATATTAATAATAAAAGTTTTTTCTAAAAAAAATCCCATTCTTTTATATTTTAATCCCACTGTTGATATATTTAAATCACTTTTATACATAAACTCAATGTGTAATCACAAATGTATTGTGATTCGGGGATTATTGAAAAATTTCTTGGGTATCTGAATTCCTGAAACATGGGAAAAGATTTACTACAGGGTTTGGAGAAAATGGCAGGACGGAGTGGTATAGCATAATCTCACACTGTAAAAGGGATGGATGTAGAGATAGAATTCTGGAAGAAAATTTTTTAAAAAACTACTCTGAGTAATGAGAGATTTAGTTTTCTCTTTTTAAAACTTTTCTTTATGTTAGAAGCCAATATTATTTTCAGCATTTTAAAACATTCAACAAAAATTTTACATTTCATGAAGAAATCACTTAATACTTCTGAAGAAGTATCAAAAGTACATGAAACTGTTGATAATGTCATTTTTCCCTCACTACTGACCTGACTAAAAGTAAAAACAGGGAGGTGATTTTTATGTCAAATTTACTTTCCATTTTACGTTACACATAAAATAGATATGTTCTAAACTGATCTCAATCATCCAGGTATTGAAAGATTAAATACTGAAGGCAGTTTACAATTTTAAAAAATGTATCATCTGCTGTATTGGGGGAGCCAGTTTATTCTCCCCTTACAGAACACATGCATACACGCGCACACACACAGTGTGTCTATTTTCTAGAAATCTTTCTTGATGGTGGATGCACACAGATCTCAAAATCTTAACTTCACAGTAAGGTTTTTCGCTGCAGGGGATTGAACCCAGGGCTTCCCACACGTGAGGTACGCACGCACTGTACTACTGAGTTACATCTCCAGCTCCTGTGTAAAATTTGAAACATTCAAGATAGGGTATTGCTAAGTTGTCCAGGCTGGCCTCGAACTCGTACTCCTGCAAAGCCGTCAGAACAGCTGGGATTATGGGTGTGTACCACCTCGCCCAGCCATGCTTCTCAATGCAACCAAAAGGAAGACCATTTAGACTTTGTTCTTTCAAACTCTGTTAAGGAAGCAAAGTTAAGACAGTTTCAGAAAAAGAACACTGAGGTTCTGATGTTGACTCTGTCCTTGAGAATTCAGGTTTAATTTTCACTATTTACAGCATACCACTCTGGCTTCAGCTGTCCCCCATATTCATGCCAGCCAAGGGGCAGCATGGAGCAGCGTTGTTCTGGGTCTGGTGCGACAATGAAGGGAGTCCCAGATGGCCGTGCTAGCTAGCACCCAACTGTGGGGCTGGAGGCCAGGTCTCAAGGGTTTACTCCAAGTTGGGAACTTGGTAAAAACATCATAGCTTTGTTTTGTTTTGTTTTTGTCTTTTTGAGACAGGGTCTAGCTATGCAATTTAGACTGGCCTTGAGCTCACTTTGTAGCCCAGGCTGGTCTCGAACTCGCAACGATCCTCCTGCCTCAGCCTCCCGAGTGCTGGGATTACAGGTGTGTGCCACCATGCCTGGCTCATAGCCTTGTTTTGGAAGTATCAATTCTGTGTTCCCAGCTCAGGGTAGGGCCGTATCTAGATTTATGTTTTTATTTCCAACATAGTAAGCTTCAAATGGAGTAAATCACAGCCACTTAGAAGAAAAACTGCTGAACGAGTCTTCCTTTTTAATCAGAGAACATCTCCTCCTCAGTTTCCTTAAACACTGATCTTAAACAAAACAAACAAAATTTTATGGCAGCACAGAGGATTGAACCCAGGGGTTGACGCAAGTCAGGCAAGTATTTACCGCTAAGCTACACCTTCAGCCCCGAATCCTCTACTCTTAGTGTGAGTAAACAGCAAACCCATCCACCAAGATCACTTAAAGCTGGGAAAAAGGGAAACAAATCTACATATAAGATGCTTTTAAAGATCCAAGCGTAGCTGGGCACAGTGGCACAAGCCTATAATCCCAGCACTCAGGAGGCTGAGGCAGGAGGACTGTTGAGAGTTCAAGACCAGCCTGAGCTACAAAGTGACTCCAAGACCAGCCTAAACTACATAGCGAGACCCTGTCTCAAAAAAAAAAAAAAAAGACCCAAGTGTGTGTTCATTCATTGCAAACAAACCTGCATGAGCATACTTCTACAAAGCAGTGCTGACTAGGGAAGTGATCCAAAGTCCAAGACCCAGGAGCCAGGTATGACCATGTCCTCCCTGCTGCAGAGCTGGTTCTGTTTTCAGGGACAGTGCCCAGAGGGCGTCTGCAGGCAGGGCACCCGGTTGTGGGGTCTCTTGGCAGGTCAGTAAGAGGAACATTTGGGTTAGGGGCCTAGGTTAGGGCCCAGTGCACTGCGTTTTGAAGTTTGAGGAAGATTTAAGCCAGAGGCAACTGAGGTGCTCCAAGAAATTATTTGGAAAAAGAAAAAATTACATCTGTATTGCACATGTACAGATAGTGTTTGGTCATTATTCCCTAAACAATACACTACAACAACTATCTGATAGTGTTGCCACTGTACTAGGTATTAAAAAGTTACCTAGGGGTGTTTACAGTGTACAAAAGGACGTGCACAGGTTGCATGCAAACACCATGCCATTGCATAGAGCTGAACAGCAGCAGATTTGGTGTCAGCGAGGTGCTGGTCCCAATGCCTGGAAGAGACAGGGACCCACTGCACTGCATTCACCTCTAGGGATTTCAGCTAAGGAGGCAACTGGAGAAGTGCACAGACATGCACGCCACGGTCATTAATCTCAGAACTGTTTATAATGGCCAAAAATCGGAAACAATTTAAGTGGCCATCGGTAGAGAATCAGTATGACACCCCTGTGCCTCGGAAACTCTTGAAGAATGACAAACATGCTGTCCTATCAGCTGTGAGTCACAGCACTGCTTCTCAGTGGGCCAGAGGTGCTGGGAAGACGTGTGAAAATGACTCTCCCGATCCCAGGCGTTTGTACTACGCCATCACTGCAGACACTTGGATGTGAGCACTGGGACATTTGCTACAGTAACGGCCCCACATCTGTCCCATGGAGCAAGGCACTCAGCGCTCTGTGCTCAGTGATACGGCAGGCACAGCAGCCTGCGTGGTTTCAGAGTCTGCCAGGGTCCCAGTGGTCCCTAACCTGAGCAGTGATTTCTTCTCTGTGGGATAAAATTGGGGACGTTTTACTAAGACAGTAAAAGTTTATTTTTTGTATTTCTGGAACATTTCTACCATGAGATGGCATTATTTTTATAACCAGAAAAAAAAAAATCACTGACACTGATAATTATGTAAAAACAAAGTTAACTGTGAGTCAAGTCCAGTTACAAGAAATGTCTCTGCCTAACAAATGGGTTTCTGGGCCTCAAGCCTTGGCCCATATATCACAGGCAATAGTCAGTGCAATGACATTTCAAGACAACAAAAGAATTTATATGGTTTCTTGATGTTCCCTGAGGTCACATCGAATAAATAGTTCAAATCCCTTGTTTTCTGTCATCTTTTCAGCTAGTGAATGTATTTTTTTTAAAGAGGGGAGAAAAAAAGCAAACATTCCTTCTCATAAAAACCATATATAAAAGCTACATATCTGTCTTTCATAAGATGACCAACACAAAGGAAAATAGCCCTGCATTAGTTCTGAAAAACAAGAAAAGAGATATATTTTTATAATGTAAATATGAAAAAGAAATGGAGGGTATTAATAAGATAATGCAAATTTCACAATCATCTGTACGTTCTTTATTAAAACACTGTTTCTAAGTAGAACAACAACTGTTTCTAAGCAGTAACAACAAAGGGCCTGCAATTCTTATTTTGGTTTTTGTTGTTTTGCAGCCAGAGTGGTGCAAGTGTGACCATGACACAATATAAGAAATAGAAAATGAACAACTGCATTAGCAACCTGCGACACACATTTCATGAGGAGACTCATTTGCCTGTATCGGGAAAAACAAAAAACATACCTCATGCCAAGGGAAGGAATGCTAAGCAAAATGCACAAAGCAATGTCAAATTTGAGAACAGGCTATATTTCAGGGTCTGAGGACAGAGATGAATATGGAAGGCAGCTTTACAAACATGTCTCCTGAGTGAAGTAGGTTTTTTTGAACGCAGTCTTACCCAGCAACTAAGACATATTTTCCGTCTGCTTGATCCTTCAACCTTTCCAGCAGGGACAAACGGACTTTGGCTTTGCTTTTGCCATAGATTTCAATTTCATCTGCAAGCAATCCTATCTCCTTGGCAAGGATGTCCACAGCTTTTGGAGTCTGTGCTCTTGAAATTTCTATATCACTGGGGGGGAAGAAACACAAAAGAGACAAAGTCCCTTCAGCTTAGGTGGTCGCCGTTAGTGTGAAAAACAGCCATACATCATGCCAGTGATTAAGTGGACGCAACTGCGCTGCGGTCCTGTTTCTCTCTAGGGCAATATTAAGCACAACTGCTAACAATTAACATGCACGAGAAGTGATACATGCTTTTAGGAGACGTGACTCCAAAAAACTCCCCAAGATCCTAGAACCGTGTCCGTGCACAGGATAGGCCTGTGCCACAGCGGGCGAAGAGCTGTATGTTACTCCCTGCAGGGGAGTCCGTTAAGGAGCGGGTGCTGGACGCAGAACCCCAGGAGAGGTGGGCTACTGACTGCATAACACTCTCCTAGTGGGCAAGCTGCGTGTGTCTCTTGGCTACTCAAAAATGTGGAAACGCTGTTTTATCTCCACCCATACTTTCCCTTTCTCCTCCCCATTTTCAATGCAAGATCACATCTCAGAAAGTTTTTATTAATCATGTAACTGTTGGTGCAAGTGCCTGAAGCTCACCTTTAGACTGAGGAAATTTCAGGCACTCTGGAGTGTGGCTGGGTATCTAATGTAAAGCATCAATTTCGATCAAGACGACCATGACTAAGATGGGGAGGTAACAGTTATGCGCTGCAGCAAGGCTAACCCGGAGCCTTGAGCACAGGAGAACTGGTACCCAAGAACTGTTCTACAGGGCACACCGGAGAAGACAGCCATTCCCTGACTCGCCTCAACACCTGCTGGTGGCACAGCGGTCTCCTAGTGGGCAGGGGACACCCGGCCCCTCTGTGGCAAGCAGCCTCTCTGCTCTGATAGTCTTCTTCTGTTGCCACTGCTGTTGATCTACTCAGCCCAAATATGACCCCAGGTTCTCCTCCACTGAACAGGGTGTGTGTGTGTGTGTGTGTGTGTGTGTGTGTGTGTGT